ATTTCTTAAAGGGAGTTTGGTGCAGGGAGCTTTTAGTTGGATTCAAACTGCTGATATGGATCATTGTTAACGTTTAGTCTCCACTACAGAAACACGAGCTGACTGATAAAGGCTGATCAGGTTGTCTGGGGGTGTTAGTTTGATTAATAATCTGTGTATTGATTACTGACGCTGGCTGATCAGGATCATTAACAGCTGATTGTTCTTTCCTAATTAAACATGATGTGTTTGTTCTTAATGAGCTTCTGTTGCTGATCACAGTGTGAAAGCCACGGTGACTTCAAGACTACAGATAGAAAAAGTTGTGTGTGTCTGTGTCATCAGCTCTTTTCCCTTTTAAAAAACATGAACATTTTTGTAACTAGATACTAGCAAGCTAGTTAGCAAAATTTCAAGAGCAGAGCAGCTTCGTGGTCACAGACTGCCAGCTGCTTGGCAGGCAATGAGAAAGATGGGCACAGGAAATTAGATTGTCTATACATTATTTATGATTATAAATCATATTTTGTATTTGTTTTTAATTCTTTTTTTGTATTTTCCGTCCATTAAATCTGCGTTAAAGTGATGTCTTTGTGCTTCTTCCCCTCCAGAGTCGGTATGAAGCCTCAGAGCTGGATCAGGAGGAACTGGCTGTGGGCGGCCGGCGGGGCGTTCGTCAGCATCCACCTGGGTACCTGGCTGATGCAGAAAGCCATGAAGAGCTCCGTACGCTCTGAGGCTGCACTCAAACAGAAGACTGCAGAGGACAGACTGGACTGACATTCACTGACTGTGTCGCTGTGCTGACGGACGGACGGACGGACGGCGGTGTGTAAAACAGCGGAGGACTGTGACCAGCACTGACAATCACAGACAAACCATCCATGTTCGTGTCACAGGATATTAAACTGCAGTGAAAAAGCCGGCTCCGGTGGACAGTTTGATTTGATGTTTGAGTTGAGATTTACTGGAAATAAATCAATAAAATGATCGAAAGCATCACCACGTAATGAAAACGGTCGTCGGGACACTGAATACAAAAAGGCAGTAGGATGTCACGATGTTAGAAATGTCGTAGTCGATACCGATACCTGTGAATGTCCACGATTCTTTATTTAATAGCACAGTGAAAAAGAGTAAATCTTAATCTAAGCAGAATATTGGAAAAAATGGGGATTGTTTATCAGGATTACAATGAAATAATAATAATAAAATACATAAATGTCAAGACATTGTTGATGCTAAAAATCTTCCATTTTACATTTGTTTCTGTTTCCATTTGCTTTTCTATGGTCACGTTGTTCTGTTCAGTGAACACACACATCAATACTTCTTATTGATATTTCTTTCCTCTTGTCTTTATTTACATATTTGGTATTGAGGTAATCCAAAAGTAATGGAAAGTAATCAAACTACTTTAATATTGTGATACTTGGATCATGTTGTCCTGGTTATAATAAGAGCTGTATAATCCATAGAAATTATATATATATATACTGTATAAAATCAGTATATGATAATAATAAATCTAGTGATTGTAGCGCAGATATGCTAGTAGTTTGTATTGTACAGTAGTTAGCCTGAGCTAGCTAACAAGGACTTTGACTAGATTGCCTGTTTTTGTATCTTTCCTGTAGCCCAACGTGTGTGTGTCAGGAAGGTTTCAGATGTTAATGATTACCATGCTAAAGTTACGCTGTTAGGCCTTTGTGTGACACAGAGACTACCTTAACTCACCCTGAGTTCCATGTGCTGGCAGGGACGTAGCTAGCAGAATTTAGGGGTTCAGTTCCTCTTTAGAAAGAGTGGGAACCCTGATTTGGCCCCTGGTAGACCGCCACACTCATGGGCCCTACACTCTCAGACTTTGAGACAGCGTTCCTGTTTTCGACCTGATGATTGTGAGAGATCTTCTTAAAGACCGTGAATATAATCCATTAGATTATATTCCTCATGCTCCTCCGTGAGGTCGAGTCAGAGGATCACCACAATCAGCAGGATTCATCCTCTGGGGCCGTGAGTTTATGTAGAAAGAGTCACATCCAGTAGCTGCTATCAGAGATGCACCAACATGGAGCAGTTAGAAGTTGTTCAAACTTTTCTCAACTTATTCTCCTGATCAATAAATTAACAAGGTTCCAATCACACTGCAGAAATCAATGACTCATTATCATTTAGAGGCGTCCAGAGAGGCATTGATCGCAGACGTGCACTATAATGTTGGCTGTTATCTGTATGAATGCAGTGTGTTCACATAGAGCCCTGAGACACATGTTTTTCAATTTAAAATACTTTATTCGTCCCTCAAGGGACAATTTGAGGCAAACAAGAGTGCAAACAGAACAACTGTTCATCCACACACACAAAATATTAACAATAATACAACTATGATGTGTTGGACAAAGGTTCAAATAGTGTTAAAGTGCATCTGTCAGTCTATGCGCAGTATTCAGTGTCGGATCAACTGCCTCAGTTTCTATACATTTTTACATGTATCATCGTTTTATATGATTTATCTGTTTGCAAACAAATACTAAAGAATAGTTTAAGCAACCAGGAAAAGAATAAATAATACTAATAATGTTTCTGACATCATGCCAGAGGAAGGGGGGGATCCCTGATGTACACTGTAAAAAAAAAAAGGAAACTATATTTTTATGGTAAAATAAATGGCTGCTGCGGTTGCAGAACTATTAGAACATTACCGTAATAAACGGCTGAATGTTTCTACTATTACAGTAAGGATTATTAGATTATTGATTTTATGGTTAAAGTTGTTTTAATCCATATTTTTTACCAAGTTTTTGCCATCAGAAATTATACCACATGAAAATATTACATGATTGTGGTTTTCTGTGCAGTTTACAGTCTGCAATATTAAATACCACTTTATTCCATATAAGTGAATTTAAAATAGTGTAAAACTTAAAGTTTTCCCTTCAGATATCACAGTGTTTTACCGATACAGAAACGGTAAATAATAATAAGTAATCACTGCGATTAAACTGAAAACAGCGGTCAACAAAAACTTTCTATTTTGAAAAATATATCAGAAACACCAAAAATAACAAATACCAAGAAATATAAATGTTCACAAACCTGATATTGTATTAGCTCTTACAGTAATTATTAACAAATGCCTGTGATAAATCTGCCTATGTAGAACTGAATGGGGTATTGTATTGTACTGTATTAATGATTTTAGGATCTAACTATTAAAAAACCTGTAGTGAAAGAACAAGAAAGTAATGAAAGATGTATTTCAACAAAAGAAAATAAGAACAAATAGAAAGTGTCCCATTTTAAACAACCCTTGTGGCCATTCGAGTACAGAGTTTACGAGGTGCACCTGAATGCACCATTTTAAGATATCTGAGAGCAGATTCATGGTAAGTTCTGAGGAGAGGATGAGAACAAATGATGTGTCGGCTGACTCAGCAGAAATTTACCAAACTGTCTGTTCCTCTCTGAGTTTATTAACCAAATGTTCCTCCCTGGTCTGCTTCAAACCCAGCAGCAGTAATTAGTCCCAAAGACCGGTTTAATTTGATATCGATCAGCTGGAGTCTGGTTGCTCTCTGAGGGAGGCAGTTATAGTGGTGCCATTAAAGGCTTTAAATCATTCCAGGTCCTTCCCTGTGAAAGCAGTAGCTGTGGCAACATGAGCCTTTAATATATGTTTGTATATCTGTTTGGGTTCATCAGCTGTTCTCTGCTGTTCTTGTTATTGATCAATATAATGTGAAATATACATAAAATATAGTCAGTTTACTCACTGATGATGGTTGGTAAACTGTTTTTAAAGAACCAGTGTGTACGATGCAGTGTCATCTAGTGGTGAAGTTGCAGATTGCAACCATCTGAATCCAGCTCAACCTTCAAAGTGTGCAGAAGAAAGTCCGGTAGCCGTGTTGGGGGACCGTCCGACCTTCTGCTGACTCTGTATGTTACTGGTTCGGAGCAGAAGAGTCGGTTTTGGCCATTAGTTTTTCCTGAAGTCCCGTCTGAAGCATTTTGTTGATGCGCTGCCTTGTAGGTGATGGACTGATTGTACAGTCTGACCCGCTGACTTTATGGTTGTCTCTCTAACCACTAGACCACCCTGCTAACTGCCTGCCCTCGTGTTGAGCTTGTAATGCTAATTTCCATTTTCAGACTTTGATCCTGACTTCGCCGTAACCGTTCCACTTCCCTTTCTCAACCGCAGCTCATTCAGAAAACCACAGTTCGTTCCACCAAAACGCCGCTAATGCAGTCGGTGTCAAACTCACTCACATTTCTGCTCGGAGGATGTGGCTTGGCGGCCCCCGCAGTCCGCTCTCCCATGTGGCTTTCCTCCAGGTTCACGGTCCCTGAGGCTGGCGAGCAACACCGCAGATGTTTACCCAAAAACCAAAGCAGAGACACTGCATCCCAAGCTGTACTTTTCCTGTCAGCGCTGCCCACTGGTCCGTTTGGGAACCGTGAACCAGGCTGAACTCGGAGCGGTGGGTTTGCATCTCTGCCCTGGTCCCTCACCTGGTTGAGTCCTCGCCGCAGCGTTCCCCGGGTTCGATTCCAACCCGCGGCCCTTTGCTGCATGTCAACCCCACTTTCTTGTCACTCCTCAGCTGCTGCCGTCAAATAAAGGACCACCCAAACCGGAGTCCATTCAAGTCACAAGAGCAAGACCTAGTAGTTTTAATAAGGCCACCAAATCCACTGGCAGCAGACGGTTTAACAATGACTCATCTCAGCTGCTGAAGTTTGAATTTTGTTGTTCTTCATCATGTGGCTTTGGAGATGCACACGGTTCAAAATTCAGCCATTATCTCATGAGTCAGACTGGAAACAAGCACTCAGGTCGACACACAGCAGCATGTGGTAGTCATTACAGTCCCCGCGCTATCACAACACGCACACTCTGGGACGGGAATCTGTGGTATCTGCTCTGGGTTCAGATTTAGAGTTTGGACGATGATGTGGCTTCAGGTCAGCTGGAACAAAACTGACACTCGAGTTTAGATTGTTAGGAATTTTAATAACCTTCAAAAGAGAAATCTCTGTGTTTGTACTGTAAATATCAGGAGAAATAGAATCAGGGCTGGGCCTAACAATAAAGATTAAAAAACTAATAATTATTAAACTCCACTAGTGTCCCCTAGTGGCTGCAGTGTTCATTACAGCGAAAAAAATAAAAGTGTTGACAGATTCAACAGCCTACTGATCATTTAAAGTCCTGATGAAATGGAAAAACTGCCTTTTTAACCCATGTATGCCGAGGAATTTACTAAATGTATCACATTTGAAATGAAAATCCAGTAATTGTGTCTTCCTGTAAAATTAAATGTGACACGTGCTTATGTCAGCATGAACTGATTTCAACCAATAAT